ACAGCTTTTAAAAGGAACAGAAATCTTACAGAGACAAAAATTAATGGATTGCATCTCATAATTAGATTGTGTCAGCATCCAGAGGACAATTTAATTTTACAGGTTTAAACATAACAGCAGTTATCCATTAACTTGTTGAGAACAAAACAGATAAGTTTAAAAAAAATGTTTTAAAACCGAGAGTAGAAACATACCTACAGAAAAACTGCTTCTCTCTTTTCCCATATTTTCAAAATCACACATCCATGTTACACTCACACACACATGCACACATAGACAGCAACATATGCTCTCTTTTATTTCAGTGCTTCTGAAGTAACCAGCATTTTTTTTTTTACACCTAGGACAGCAAAGCATCTTTATTGTGAGAAGTGACTGCTCCCTTCACTAAGGTCCCTTCACTGCCCAGCTCTGACTTTGGCGCAATTCATTGCAAAGGAAGCAAAGTCTCAAGTAATGTGGCCCTCTGGTGGAAAGCCCTGCACCATGTCCTGCGCTACCGAATCACACAGTAAACTAACAGTTCCTGAAAACATACACTGCAAGGCTTCAGCACAACTTTTATAAATACGCTGCAGGACTTTAATCACCGGGTGAGTGTGGTGGCGTGCAGCCGTATCAGCAATATGTTTCCACCACGAGAACAGGACCCTTGCATTTAACATCAACGTGCACTAAAACAACAACAAATAATGCCCCACACTGTTCAGTTCCACGACACTTCACATTCAGCGCACACCGAGGGTCTGCAAAAGGGTGCCCCTCTGAAAACAGCCCTTTTATTTGTTTAAAAACAAACAGGAAACAAAACAAACTTACCTGCTGTTGTTGCAGATGCAGCAGTTCTACTGTGCTTACTTCAGTGCTCGTGTCACCACTTGATCTTCCATCTCTGCTGCCAGCATCTAATTGGCTGCTTAGAGTGCTCATTCCATTTTGATTCATTGAACTGTTGCTTATTGTCTCTGTCGCAGATTCCTGCATCATGACTTAATACCTAAAAGTGATTAAGAAGTATCAATTAACACACGCGTTACACCTTCACACTTCCATTATCAAGATGTCCCTCTCTGCCAATTATACAGACAGCATCTTTAGAAGAAGAAAAAAGCCTCAAGGAGCCGTTTACCAAGAAATGTGATGCAAACTCTGCTTTCATACAGCCACTAATCACCGGAATTATGGTTTCTATAAGCAAGCTTTGTGTGCTTACATTTAACAGCCAAAATAACACACCACGCAAGGAGCATGGTCAATAGCATTTATGAACAACTACATTTTAAAGTCTACCTATAAAACCAGTTTAAGTGAAGGCACGATTTCACACACTGCACTATATTTCCTATTATCTAGCTTTGACAACCATGGATGACTATACAGCCTTATTTAAAATATTCACTATCTTGATTCTGTCAGAATTTTACAGCATATCTTATGCAAGGCTGTTGTTTAATGATGCACAGCTAATCATACAAAATTAAAATTTTGTAAGGGTGATACAAATCATATGGTATCAACCAATGATAAATAGTATAATGGGCTTCTCCTTTTTTGTGACTAAATAAAATTTTGCCTCCGAGGCATTTTAAGAAAAAGCTCCTGCTGCAAACACGTCAGATATTGCCTATTTTTTTAATCAAACGGCTGATATTCATTTATTTTTCTGACATTTAAAACATTTAATACTGTCCTTCCTGGGAAGTAATTAAGCTTATGCATGAGCAGCAATCAAACTGTTCACTTGAAGATGACTTAAAACTCAATTTTAACATAGGCAAATAAATGAAAGATATAAAATTAATTTTCCAGGCATGTATTAGATATGAAAGCTGGAAATAAAATCTATCAAGAATATCACTAATGATTGTGCTAAAAACAGCATAAATTATGCATATTACCTTCTCTACAGTAATAAATGTTTTATCATTTTCACTGCATAAATATACTGTACTTTCAGGATAGCAATGAGATGTCCTGCCAAGATCAGTTGAAATCTTTGCAGTAAATAAAGAACCAATGTGCCCTTACAAACCAGAATTTCAAGGCGCATTTTGTATCTGTAATATGGAAAGGTCAGTGTCTCTTCTCAGAGCCACCGAAGTCCTCTCCTGCTCTCGCAGGGTTAGAATGGACCTTACTTTCCTTCATCTTCACTCCTAATGTACTGACAGAGTCCTCACAACAACCTGGCTGAGCTGTGATTTTAAAAGACACTTCTGAAGGGAGAGGGATGTGTAGGAAACTCAGGAAAGGAAACAAAGCTTGCTGCTTAGCCTAATTATTTTACTTAGCTATTTGTTCCCTTGCAAAGTATGAGCAATTGCCTTTCCCTGGGAAAAAAAAAGAAAAGGAAAAAAAAAAAAAGACAGGAAAAGGATCATTACAACTTTGACAATGTGCATGGGATATTAATTAAAATGCAGTATGAGTTACCACAAACAAGTACCAACAAGATAAAGTGAAAGCATATATTGTGTGAAGAATGTTAAAATAGCAAAAGACGAGTTATTTAGGATAGTCTGGTCAGAAAAAAAACAGGATGCAAAAAACCTAAACACAAACACAGTTAACATAAAGGAGGGTAGCTATTATAGCCCAGTAAACAACAGCAGCACCCGATGTGTTTATGAACAAACAGCCTTTCTTAAACACTTAGGAACATCAGTGAAGAAAAATAATAGAAATGGAAAATATGATACATGCAGTGATGAATTTTACAAGGCAAAAACAAAGCTAATACTCTTTTCTGAGATTAGGCAGCTAATAAGTATTCAAATTAGGCATAAATTTTACATGTACAATGTTTAAAATATTCAGAGAAAAGGGTCTGATTGCCCTTAGTAGTTATATGAAAATTCTAATGCGGGTATGCCACAACTGTGGAAGCAGACAGCCCTTTCCGATTTTTACAATATTTACTTTCAATAAAAAGACATGTATATCAGAGTGGAAATTTATTTAAAACACTTCATCAACTGTACCGTTACAAGGATTTGGAAATTTGGGAAACTCAAACATTAATCCTCTTTTAGTCAAACAAAGATTTAACCAACAGACAGGTTCATCTTACAAATTTGAACATTAGACAATAACAGTGGTAAATTTAGCCAAGTGCATTAAAAGGGCAAAGGGGTGTAAATGTTAGATAATCAAAACATTAGAAAACACACAGTAATTTCATAAATTTCTGAATCTTTCATTACAATTAGCAGAGAAGGGTTAAATATCTTCCAGTTCATATTAACCAAAGGGTTTTATGTCTTGTGGATTTTGTATCCTTGCAAAGCCCCAGAGTGTAGTTCAGGCGCTGCATTTTAAGTTAAAATGTCTGTGAGCCAGTAGAATCTGCTTTAACGTAACATGACCAGTAACGTTATTCTGGTAATAGAAAACAACAAATCTGACCCAAGAGCTGCGTACAGACAGAAGGAAACTATAGAGTAACAATACTAGAAAGGGCAATTTATTTCCAAGTGAAGTTGAAGAAATACTGAAGCATTTATATGAAGAAAAAGAATCCCTATAATTTTATGTTAAAAATAAAGTGTGAGAGTTTTTTCTAGTTGTAAAAGGTTATTTTTAAAAGCAACACAAACTTTGGTTTGAGTAATGTTCTGTGTTGGTTGTGCACATCTGCATCCCCCCTCCCCCTGCCAGCAACTAAAAAAGGGCTGCTGGAGAAAGTAAGAGAATAGAATATTTTTCTTTTTTCTTTTCCCTTCTTTTCTCTTGCATAAACACACACACCTATACACATGAATCTATGTACTTGTGTGTGTACATACAATCAACTCTAAACCCTTGAAATTGAAATACTGAAAACACTTAAACAAGGACAATTTCTGAAATCTATGTATCACTAATTTGAGTTACTGGTGGCAAAATAATTTGAACCTGCAACATCTCACTAAACAAACTAATGTCCTTTTTTCCTTGCTTTTACAACAGTAGTCGAGGTTGTTAGCATAATAATCATAAATAAATACAAAGGAAATACGATGACTGCCAGATACTAAGGCTGAAAGTTTAATAATTCCAATAGGACAAGAAAAAAATATATAGGTCCCTTGTTACATACAGTTATACACATTCATACTTTCTAATCCTTCTCTTTTTCTCTTGCTGTCACACTTGCTGTCAGTCATGAGCATGCCTACACAGGCACACATGCACCCACGTTCACAGACACAAACATTCACCAGCACCTACTTCTGTGATTCCGTAACTCTGGGCGCCAAAGGTGAGATATAAGGTCTGCTACCTGGTATTTTGAACAAAAGTATGGGGAAAATATTTGCTGTTCTCTGCACAAGAGAGTGAAATTGTAGATTATTGTAGTGCGGGGTTGCACAGCAGGTTGAATGCCTAACACTGCCAGAGTAACTATCACCCATACCAAAAAAAGAAATACTCCTCCTGTGAAGTTAGAAGCTACATTTTTACTTTTTCCCCTGAAGCGAACTGCACATTTTTTGTGCGCGCGTGTGCACGCACGTGCACGCATGTATGTTTTAAGCCGGCAAGTCACTGTACAGATACTTATTCTCTACACCACTTCCCTTTTGAAACATTAAACTGACACTGGAACTGACTGCACAAGATTGCATTTTCTCTTCCTAAACAACTTGAATTGAAAGGTTACTTAGTGTAACAATATTTACTTGCAGAATTGTGTTGTTACCAAGGGTATAATGGATGGTGGCTATGCAGGTTTACGCAAGAATGAGTGAAGCATGAGGCATTAGCCATGTGTTTGACATGTTTCAAATTGCTATAATCCAGCATTAAACACACCCAGCAATTCATGCCATTTCTTGCAGCCATAATCTTGAATAAAGCGTGCACAACCACTTATTATATAAATTAGTATATGACTCCCTGTTATAGTCACAACAGTGCTTTTGTGTTTATTTTGCATCAAGACGGGATCTTTTATTTGTACAAATAGCAGGATAGCGCGCCGTAGCGCAATTAGACCTCCTCACTTTATGACAGGGTGTATGGTACGCCGGGCCCGCGGGCCCCGCCGTGCCCTGCCAGGCCCAGGCCGTGCTGGAAGGCCGGGCTCGGAGCCCACTGATCCGCTCCAGCCCGCCCGGGGCCCCGCCCGCCGGGAGCGGGAGCGGGAGCGGGAGCGGGACCGGGAGCAGCTGCCGCCAGGGGGCGCCGCGGGGCCGGCAGAGGCCCCGCCCCGCGCGCGCAGCCCCGGGCCTCGAGGGCGCCGTGCCACGTGCCGGGCCAGGCGAGGGGCGAGGCCGCGGCGGGGCCGTCCCGCACCCCCGGCAGGGCCGTCCCGCACCCCCGGCAGGGCCGTCCCGCACCCCCGGCAGGGCCCTCCCGCACCCCCGGCAGGGCCCTCCGCACCCCGGCAGGGTCCTCCCGCACCCTCGGCAGGGTCCTCCCGCACCCGGCAGGGCCGTCCGCACGCCTGGCAGGGCCGTCCCGCACCCCCGGCAGGGCCCTCCCGCACCCCCGGCAGGGCCCTCCCGCACCCCCGGCAGGGCCGTCCCGCACCCCCGGCAGGGCCGTCCCGCACCCCCGGCAGGGCCGTGACGGAGCCGAGAGCGCACTGGCTGCTGCCCCGCAGGGCTAGAGATTCGGAGCCTACAACTGCCAGCACAGAGCACCACCACGGCAACACCCCGAGACCCATAGTCTTGTTCTGACATGCAGGTGCCCGTGTTCGTTGATCCACAGACGAGACAGAGCCACAGCACAACGCTGTCAGTACCACAAACCTGAGATTCCCCAAACGGTCATGCACTTGCCTCACTTCCTCCCTTAAGACACAGCCTAACCTGCAGCCTTTTCAAACTGGACTGTGATGTAAAAGCAGAAGTGAGGGGCTAGGCTTAAATAATGGTAACTTTTGTGCTTTGCTGGAATTAATTCATCATTGACACAAGGCACAATGCATCTGAAATCTTGCTGGTACGCTAAAAGTCTTTAATACTTAAGATTGCTTAATAAATCAAAATGCCAAATATGAAGGACATAGCTGAATGTGTGAGAACAAAAAAATTGAGAAAGCTAAGAGAATATTTGTAAAGCTTTGGGGTTTTTTCCCACTTATCTAAAACAATTAGCTTTCAAATCTTGAGTTAAGCACAGACATAAGTCACTGCATATTTTTAAATATGTACATAAATTATGTTTAAATAATAAATAATATATACATATATTCTATATAGATATAATATATAAATAATAAATATAATTATGTTTAAAACTCTAATTAGGTCAAACACTATTGGAATACCATAAAATAAAGTATCTATATTAGTAGGTGTAAAATAAAGTATTTATATTAGTAGGTTTAATACATTACTATGTACTCAACTTTTCCCTGTAAAAATGTAAAGGATGCTCAAACACCTTGTGCTGGAAGGTCTTTCAGGAAAACGTAGCTTCCAGTTGTGGAAGATACAGGACGTATCTTAGAATAATCAGAATATGTATCATCTGCATCAGTGAGCAAAGTCAGCATCCTTCATGAGAAAAAAATAGAATTTTCATGGTAAAAAAAAATCTATTAAAATCATTTTTCTATTTAGAATATTCTCACTAGTGAAGATGGTAGTTGTAAGTAAAGTAATAGTTCAAAAATGGATAAAAAAGGCAACAATGGGACAACAGAGTCTAGATCATAACACAGAAATTACTGATATTCTGAAGAATTCAAGCTGTAATAAGAAACTTTTAAGTGGGCACTCATATGGTGGGCCTCTTGAAGGCCGTTTTTGAACAGAGATTTACAATAAAACTGACAACTGGATTTTTGCAAATTACTACAGATGAGATTTATTTACTTGGGACAAGAACCAGCAGTTCAGCACCCCTCCCATCTTCACCCACACACAGTGCCAGGTAAACAAAAAATGCATCCTTCCTGCAGCGTTACCTTAACAGGTGCACTCGGCTGGTATGAGAAGGCATTAGAAAATCAGATCAATTGATCTGTGCTAAATTGGAACTGAAAAAAAGCAAGCATTGCCTAAAATATTTCTTTCTCTAGTATAAACCACAATTTTTCCCACTGCCTGTGTATAGTTTCTCTATCAGATGTTTAAATGAATATCCTTTTAGGTGACTGGCACCAATAGTCAGATAAAGGTATTGAAGGTAGAATATCACATTCAATCTTAACTAAAAGCTATCCTGCACTTTAAAGGCTGTATCTTTTCCTTTCACACCATCTCAATTCTTCTGGACTAATAAAAATAGTAGGTCAGTTTGGGGCACAATAATTTATCTGCTTTCTAAAATTCAAGAGTATGTTGTAACACTCATCTGATATTGAACAACAGTTAGTTCACTTCCTAAAACAGCAAGGAAGGTCTAATTAATTTCCACTTGCTATTTATTTTCAAATGATAAAAAAAAAATCCCTAAGAAGGCCAGTGTTATTTATATGAGTAGTCTGTGCAGTATTGTGAGGTCTGTACCTTACACATAGGATAGTGGCAAAAGCCTGCTAGAGTGCATTACCTACAGCCCACGCAGAAATGAGCAGCCAATTTCAGGATAAGATTCTTACTTGAGCAACAGCAGCTTGGGAAACCCCACCTTGGAAAGCACACTCCTCTCAGTCCCTTTCTCCCTCTATCTTTCCAAGTCCTAAGGAAAAAAAAAGAGAAAAAGAAAAAAAAAAAAAAAGGCAGCTCTCCAAGCTCTTGAGGGTAGGGAGACTTTATTACAGTCAATGGAGAATTTAGTAGTGAGAAAGCATCAGTGCAGCAGGAAATAATTAGAACTGTGAGAGCTAGGGAAGACCTGCCTAGCAGGCAAATTCCCTTTAAAAAAAAAAAAAAAAAAAAAGAAGAGCTCCTTTTAGGGTCTATAGGGCTTACAAACTGCAAACCCAGGGCCAATTTTTTATACTTTTTTTTGTGAGGAGCTTGCAACAACCATCATTGATAATTCCCCTCCCCTGATCTTTGAATATTATGATAGTACCTTCTTTCATAAGACAGTACTTGTTTAACCCTCACAATTACTTGACTTGTCATCCAGGCTCCTGCTCATTCCCTCTTTCCCTTCAGTATCCCTTGAGGGTTTTTTTTCTCCTGTCCATAAACTAAGTTTCCCCAAAATTTCCATAAACTAATTAACCCTTTCTAGAGTTTTCAGCATTTTCTACTCGCAAGGTTATCTCTTTTTGGTGCAAAATATATCTTCAGTTCTTCTGAAGATCCACCTTTGCCTTCCCACTGGATGGCCCATAGGAAAGGTGGTTCATCAAAAGAAATTTATTTTACGGGAACCAACTTACCAAAAGCTCAAATAAGCCTCAAAGAGGAATAAAATGGAAAACGTGTATTTCTAAGGTGAGTCCTCAAAAGCTCACACACTCACTTGCAAAACCCCCGTCAGCATCTGATTGCATCTGTAGCTTTCGTTGACTACAAATGGGCCGATCACAAATTTTCTTCTACATACACAGTAATGTCTGAAAAGCCGCATACTGGCAATTGCTGTTTCAAAGTTTTGATCTTCCAAATTTTCTATATATAAGTTTCTTAATTTAGCTTACAGCCACATGCTGATAAAACTGAACATTTGCTGAAATCATATACAGCAAAATATTAAAGTAAAATAGATGATACCAGGTAGACATAACCACACACTTAGCAAACAAGAGCAGTGCCAAACTGCATCTCTTCCTCTGGACTGCTGCTATAGTCAGAGTGCTGGCCAGAAACATATATACTCTTAATAACAGGTCAAAACCACCTGTAATAGGAAATACTTCTTTCAAACAGATATTTTGAAGGAATAATTTATCACCATGAAACCCTTGTCCAAAATCTTAAGCTCAGTTCTGTCCTTGCAAATTTAGGCCAGTACAGTTCAGAAAGGTACATCAAAAGCGCTACCAACCACTGGTAAAAATATAAGGTTTACTATCATTTTATAGACACATATAGGCATGTTTTAAATACATGCTAATTTCTGCAGCTAAATACTTATGTTACATGACTTAGATGAAGTGAATGTAGACATATGCAGAAAATATGTAATAAGCAGACATAAAAAGAAAAACATCTAAAGTAATTAAAATTCTGGAGGGACAAAGAGTTTGGAGGACTTATCTTAGAACATCTTTCCCTGTTTCTTTTTACAGGGTGTACCTTTATTCAGTCTTTTTTTATAAATACTTTTTTAATAGAAAAGACTCCTTTCCAATTCAAGAAGTTAATTACATTAATAAATTGGTAACTGGTTTCTGAACACTGTGCTCCAAGACTGTTGAAAAGTATCCTATCTCACCCAGGATTGCTACATGATCTGTAAAAGAAAAAAAATGTTTAAATTATTACAGCCCACGTAATTGGGATTAACTAAGCTAAAGAGGAAGGAACTACTGTATGTCTGTGCTTACTATGACAGCTCGGCTCTCTGAAAAACACCTCTGCCCCTATCTAAGCTTTTTTTTTTCACAGCTTCAAACATCACTAGCAAGTTCTTTAAAACACTACAATAGCTTTGCTTCTTGTTCTGCTTTAATTAGCTTTCATGACGTCTGCCTTTTTTTTTTTTTTGTTCTTAAAGATTAAAATGTCTTAGAAAAAGGACTTTATAATACTAACAAGAGTCACTACAACTTCTTTAGAAGAAGGTGAGTGGATGTAAAGTTAATGATCGAAGCAGACACAAACCTCGCTAGCCACAGAATCCTGCCAAAGTAATACAGAGACATAGCTCATCATGACGTTTCCAGTTATTTCTAGCTGATTAGGGTCATTATGTTGGAGGGCTGATTTATGTTGTCATTCCCTCTCACCAGTCCTGCATCAATAGATCTTAATGAATTGGTAAATAAGGGTGAAGATTACACTTGACAACACAGAAACATTTCTCATTCATACCAGACAAGATTTATGTAACCAATTAGGACATAACAGGAGAAATTGGTCAGAAGAAAAATAATCTTTCCAGAAGAAAATTACCCAAGTCTAAACCTCTACAAAAACAGATAACCACTGGACTTTAATATTGGTTCAATCATGAGCAAAACACCTTGTTGTTCTTTTAAGCCAATATTCCTCTCAACAACAATGATGAAAGTAAGAAAGTTTTTATCTGTACACATTATAGTACTTTTAAAAATACACACAACCCCTCTGTATGACTAAGAACACATATTTAAAAAGCTAAAGTTCTGGACAATAATATCAGCTGCAATTTTCTGTCATGCCATACATTCTAAATGTTAGAAATCCATCTAAAGAAATTTTTGAAAAGCAAATATTGTGTCAGTTCTCATAGTGTGATTATCACCAGGAATTCTTTCATATTTCATATATTTAATAGAAGTAATTATTTGCTTTTCATTTTTACAGTTCCAGTGTCAGTTGATGCCCCTTTGTCATTAAAATAAAGATGAAAGTGCTGATCATCAATAGGAAACCACAGCTTTAAAAACCCAAAGGGCTGGTGTGAACAGAGGTGGAAAATTAAAGCAAAGTGATATTGAAACAGCCCAATTCAACTTGCTTTAAGCATATGCAAATGAGATTCCACTGCTTAACTGCATCATTTATGTCGATAATATCAGCATCATCATTACAGGACTTGCAATTAAATTACATCATAATTAGCATTTCAAAGTGATTGGTTAAACTTTAAAACAAATACCCAATTCTGCTAATGAACAGTGCTAATT